GGGTTGTACGGGCCGGCACCCTCCCGTTCCGGCGATCCCCTTGGGCAGAGCGCGGGGGGCTGCGGCGCGGCCCCGGCCCTGCGCCAGCCCCGCTCGCCGCCGCGGCGGCGGGCGTGCGGGAGCGTCGGGGCGAAGCGGACGCGGGTTGGGTGGAGGGGCAGGGCCGTGGCCGGCGTCTCGCTGGTCTCCGGCTGGGTGCGATGTCCCCGCGCTCGGGTCGCAGAGCGGGCGCTGGCGTGCCTCGTGTGCGGGGTTTCCGGCGAGGAAGGGCTTCGAGAGGGGAACTGGTGAGTGAGCGCTTGCCTGGGAGACTGGAAGCGAGTTCCCGACTGACCGGAGCAGTCTCTGCTTACCGCCTTTGGCCGCTCGTCTGCGTTACTGGGGGCTGTGCGGGTGATAACAATAGCGGTGACTGACAGCTGCCGTCGTACTGAAGAGTGGCGTGCTGTCCTGTGAAGGAGGCCAGAGACACGTTTTCTGCAGGCCAGCAGCTGTATCGCATGTTTGCATAGCCACATTTTCGCTCCTCCTTAATGAAGAGTGGTGAGCGCAGCCTGCTGTGCGTGAACTGAAAGCCAGCTACGCAAAGGTGAGTGGTGTGGAAATGCTGCAGTGTGGGGTCTTGCTCAGCTGAGACACAGGGTTTCTCTGCAGAAGCACACAGGTGCTGGCAGCAGTGAGGCCCCTGGGAGGGCAGGAGGGTAGTGAAAATCCTTCTAAGGAGGATAAGAGGTTGTATGGAGAAGGAGGTTGTGTGGAGGAAGGGAGGAGAGAGAGCTGGAAGTTAGGAAAAAAAAAGTGGGGTGAGAGCTACTGAAGGCAACGTATTGGTAAGAGGACAATGTGGATTTTCTTAGACTGTTCAAAGAACTTCTCGCGTATTCATTGGCTATTTCCCAAATAGTATTGAGCTAATGAGCTGCCTTACCAGTAAAAAAAGAAAAGAGATGACTCAACAAATGCCATTGTACTATTTGTCTCAAGAACCATTAAGATATTACTCAGCAGATATTAAGACTTTAAGATACTTAGCTTTTCCAACTGATCAAAAGTGACTGTTAACCTGCTTTTGCATTGCTTATGGATACTCTGGCTGCTTCATCTTCTGGTATTTCCATTGTTGCTACTATTTGAAGCTGAAGTTGTAATGGGTTTTAAGAAAATGCCTATGTATATGCAGTGTTTCGCTGGGCTTCTAGCTATCACCTGTGTGTGCATG